CTTTCTTCAGCTGAACACAAACGAAGATATTATGAAGAATGCTGGATGATGGCACCTATTGACTTGCATAGTATTTTTTTTTTCTACTGTGAACATAGATGTGTGCCAGCAACCATACTTCAAAATATCAGCTTTTTCAAATCGAAAATGCATCAGTTAAGATTGAGATTGGCACCACAGTCATATCACTCAGCATCCCAAGACCTATTACTCACTGAAGCTAAGCAGGGCTGAGCCTGGTCAGTACCTGGATGGGAGACCACATGGGAAAACTAGGTTACCGTTGGAAGTGGTGTTAGAGAGGTCAGCAGAGGGCTGACATACTATCAGAGCGCTGTTAAACTGACTCTTAGTGTTCATTAAAAATCCCATGGCACTTTTCGTAAAGGCTGATTTATACTTCTGCGTCAAACGCCGATGTTTGCTACGGGGCTGACGCATAGCCCTTCGCCGTGGCCGTCGGCGTCGCTGACGTGCACCTCTCATAAAATGTAACTACACGTCGCAACAACGCGTAGCGCAAGCTCTGTGATTGGTCGGCTTGGTAGCGCTGACGAGTCTGGGCGGGACCGAGAGCCGCGCGAATGACGCGAGCGATTGTTTACAAGTGTGGAGTCCCGTGAAGAAGCTCCGGATAGAAAGTTTTGTTCTGTGTTTACCTCATAGTTAAAGTTGTTGCACGTCCGCCGGTTCCTGCCTCAAAATGAGCGAGTTTGAGTCACTTGTACATCCAGGAAGTGTTCAGGAAAAGCAAAACAGCACCGAAGAAACTCGACACAGAGGAACATTTACACCTCACTGCCAACTAGCGTTTCTGAAGTGTTAATGCAGACCAACAGAGACAGCGCACAGAGGTATAAATGCACAGCTACGCGCGTTGCCTGCGCCGTGAGTTACGCCGGTCACTTGACGCAGAAGTATAAACCAGGCTTAAAGTGTAGTGGTGTAACCCCGCTGTCCTGGCCAAATTCCCTTCATCAGCCCTTTCTGTTCATGACCTTCCAATCATCCCTATCCATGTTGGCTCTATCACTGTCTCTCTACTCTCTATTAATAGCTGGTGTGTGGTGAGCGTACTGGCGCCGTTGTCCTGTGGCTATTGTCACATCATTCAGGTGGATGCTGCACACTGGTGGTGGAGTGGAGATTTACCCCTAAGGATTGTGAAGTGCTTTTGGAGTGTGGCCATACTCCATAAATGCACTATACAAATATGCACATTATATTACAATACACTTTCTTGGCTGATTCCTGTTTTTGTGACCAACTAATACAATTTTTTCCAGATTCAGATTTTCTTTCTTAGAACTATAATTGACAGTATTTATTTTATTTTCTCAGTCGTAAAAACTAATTTGAGAGTTAGTTAAGTTTAGAATTAATATGAAACATATTTACAAAAATTTAAATATTCAGTGGTAAAATAAAGATTAGTTCACCTAAACTGCAGCAACACTAACAAAATGTTAAATTTTCCAGTTCATAACTTCACTTTTTATATAATTATTTTTATTTCTTTTTTTTTTTTTTTTTTTGCAAGTGGTGCTAATGGGATTTTTCTGTAATCAACCCTCATAGCGAATGCCTTTAGCAACATAAATAGTCAATGAACTGTCAAAAAATGTCCATGTTCTTCCTCCAGCTAAAGAAACTCTATGTGTGTGGAAAAAAAACACATACAGTACACAAACGGTGCACTCATAATGTATCTGAGTGCTTCTTGTTTAGTAAGTAAACCTGCGCTCTGCCAAACATGTCTGGTATAAAACTAAAAAAGTACCTTCCTCTGTGTTTGGTTTTACTTGACCTCCAATAGATGAGGCATTTAGGAACATTGCTTCACTCATTTACTACCAAAAATAAAATGGATTTAATCATTTTACTTTTAAAAAGTAGCACATACTGTATATATATACTTTATATTGCTGGCTTTAATGTTTGTATAGGATGGTAACTGTCATAGAAAAGCAAAGTACTTCAAGTACCCATCCACTCCTGCTGAATAAAGGCAAGAATGTCTTTTCAACAATAAATGTAAGAGTTTGAATGCTTTGGAGTGTTTGTTTGAGAAATGTCTCTTGAATTTTGGTGTTTTTATGCAGTTTCAAAACAGTTGTGCCAACACACTATGTTGCATAAGAACCCGTATTCATGATTGTACCTATTTAATATTTCCTTTGTTGACTGTTTGTAATTTCCATCTTTGCATCAGTTAAATTCTAAACCTTCTAACAAACGAATCTGCATCCATTTACATATTCATGTCTAGCTTTTATCAAAGGATGTGAAAAGCAGCTCCTTTTTGTCTATACTACCTGACAAAAGTATTGTCGCCTATCCAAGTTTTAGGAACAAGTTCCTTCAAGTTGATCATTTGGTATCAGAAATGGCTTATATGAAAGGCAAAGGCCTCTAGATTACGCTTATTTTACCAAAATAAAATATGATCATGCCTCTTCAATGCCCCATTCTTCATCTTACCTCAGATATGCTCAATAATGTTCATGTCTGGTGACTGGGCTGGCCAATCCTGTAGCACATTGACCTTCTTTGCTGAAGGAGTGCTATCCTGTGAAGAATTTGCCTTCTCTTGTGGTTTGTAATGTAATGGGCAGCAAAAATGTCTTGATACCTCAGGCTGTTGATGTTGCTGTCCACTCTGCAGATCTCTCACACTGCCCATACTGTATGTAACCCCAAACAATGACTTTTCCTTTACCCTCAATTCTTCAATTTTGACCGATTGCTGTGAGAATCTTGGGTCCATGCGAGTTCCAGTAGGTCTTCTGCAGTATTTGTGATGATTTGGATGGAGTTCAACAGATAATTCATTGAAAAAATCTACTACTATTATTTTTTTCCTCTTAAAACTGGGATCTACAAGACTTTGGTCAGGTAGTGTGTTTATATATCTAAGCAAAATACTGCATGGGTAACAGTTTTGACAGTTTTTGATAGTTTTTCGTTTATTCCCTGTATGTATTTACATCTTAGCATCCCTTAAATTCTTCACCTTCTAACAAACGACAGTGAATTTGCATCTATTTACATATTCATGTGTAGATTTTAACAATAAATGTGAAAAAGTAGCTCCTTTTAATAGTCTGTTTATTTAAATATCTGAACAAACTTCTGCTTGGATGGTAGTTTTGACAGTGTTTGATAGGTTTTCATTTGTTTACAATATGTAACTTCCATGTTAGCATCACTTAAATTCTGTACTTTCTAACAAACGAATCTGACTTCATTTACAAATTTATGTTTAGTTTTAACAAAGAATGTGAAAAGTAGCTGCTTTTAATGGTCTATTTATCTATATGTCTAATAATGCATTGATGATATTTTTGACAGCTTTTGATAGTTTTGAATAGTTTCCTGTTAGTTTACTGCTTGTAGTTTCTATCTTGGCATCATTTAACTTCTCCGCCATCTATCAAACAACAGGTATTTGCTTTGATTTACATATTCATGTGTAGATTTTAACAAAGGATGTGAAAAGTAGCTCCTTTTATAGTCTATTTATTTAAATATCTGAGTAAACTACAGCATGGATGATAGATTTGAAAGTTTTAATAGTATTTAATTTATTTACTGTATGTATTTCCAATCGAGAGTGAATCTGCATCAACTTACATATTCATGTTTGTCTTTTAACAAATTATGTTATAAGTAGCTCCTTTTTGTCTATTTATTTATATATCTAAGCAAACTACTGCATTGTTCGTAGTTATGAAAAGTTTTAGTTTTTTATTTGGTTATTGTATGTAATTTCCATAGCATCAGATATATTCACCTTCTAACAAACGGCAGTGAATTTGCATCTATTTTCATATTCATGTGTAGCTTTAACAATGAATGTAAAAAAGTAGCTAATTTTTATAGTCTATTTATTTAAATATCTAATCAAACTACTGCATGGGTGATGGTTTTGACAGTTTTTGATAGGTTTTCATTTGTTTACTGTATGTAACCATGTTAGCATCACTTAAATTCCCCACTTTCTATCAAACAACAGTGAATCTGGAGGGCCACAGCTCAGCATTGTTTAGGTCCAACCACTTCCAACACACACATGCTTAAGAGTCTCTAGTAGTCTTGAACACCTTAATTAGTTGGATCGGCTGTGTTTGATTAGGGTTGGAGCAAAACTCTGCAGAGCTGCGGCTCTCCAGGAATCCAGACCTATGATCTAAGCCAAGGGTGGCCAACCCTGTTCCTGGATTGACATCTTCCTGCAGATTTCAATTGCTACTCAAATCAAACACACCTCAACCAATTAATAAGGACCTGAACACCACGTGATAATTACAGGCAGGTGTGTTCGATAGGGGTTGCAACTGAAATCTGCAGGAAGGTGGCTCTCCAGAAAGAAGGTTGGCTACCCCTGATCTAAGCAAACTACTGCATGGATGATAGTTCTGACAGTCTTTGATAGTTTTTTGCTTGTTTACTGTTTGTAATTTTCATCTTAGCATCACTTAAATTCTCTACCTTCTATCAAACGACAATGAATTCGCATCGATTTACATATTCATGTGTAGCTTTTAACAAAGGATTTAAAAAGTAGCTTTGTTTTATAGTCTATTTACATATATATCTAAGGCTAAACAAACTACTGCATTTGTGATAGATTTGTACTTTGATCATTTTCACTTCTTCTTTTTTTTCTTTTTATATGTGTGTTTAGTTCTGTTTTCTTCAGAACAGGCCTTTAACCCTTCAGTTGAGAATAGCTTACCTCAGAGGTCACCTTGTGTTGACAAAAGCTTTATAAATGAATTTTTCTACAGAGTCGTGAATCAAATGTGCTCTTTCTGAATGCAGTAATTAAACTCTTGTCACCTTCAAGTCTTTGTGTTGGTTGTGCAGCTCTTGTGTGGGGGTGTCGAGGGTCTATGAACTCCTCTGATGTTTACCAGGAATGACTGACGTTGGTGTTGCAGTAATAATGCTGTGACTGACATGTGTTGAAATGCTGAACTGGTGTTTGTGGTGTGCAGGTTCAGTCCGGTGAGTGAAAACGCACCTATCGGAACGCCTGTAGGATTGATTCTGGCCGCGGCCACCAACACCACTGTGGTTTACTCCATAGTGAGCGGAAATGAAGGAGGTCAGTTTGCTCTCGCTTCTGTTTCTGCATTGGAAAATAAATACTAATTATTTGTGTCTCACATTTCAAATAACTTGAAACAACACAATGCAGATGGGTCTTAACTGTCACAGACTGGTTAGATTCACCCAATGGTACGGGGGGGGAGGGGGATGGGTGGGGTTTGGGTGGTGTCCTGTAGCTACACACACAATGCTAACAAAATAGGTCTAAATACATTTTTAATTTGAGGAAAGGCTTTTTTAAATACCCACCAACCAATAACAAGCTTAAGCATGTCATTTTTAAGAAAATCTTAAAATTAAAAGGGACAATTTTGTGGCCCACCTGCATGAGCTTTATATATATATATATATACAGTATATATATATATATATATATATATATATATATATATATATATATATATATATATATATATATATATATATAGCTTAAGCTGAAAAATAAAGCTGAAATAATATTAGGAAGCATATCTTACAGTCAGTTTAAATCAACAAAATTCCTCTTGACACAACAAAGATGGCAAAGGAAAAGCAAAGTTAGCATTTAGATGAATTTACTGTTTATTTATAAATTGACCGTTTAACGAGGCATATAAGGTGACATGAATGCAATTAAATTAATAATAAAAATGTCATGAGATTTGAAACTAAAACCGCCAATAAGTCCAATCTACAGACAGTTTAGTTTACTCATTTGACCTGAAGGGAACCCACACAAACACAGGGAGAACATGCAAACTCCACATAGAAATGCCAACTGACCAGTGACCTTGCTGTGAGGCGACAGCACAACCCACTGCGTTACCACAACAAACTTTTTTTGTAGTGATTTATTTATCACAATTCTGATAGTTTGTCTCTAAAATATGAGTTTTGACAAGTCTTCATTTCATATTTTTGATTTTTGATTTTATTTTTGGTTTTTGGTTTTGACTTATCTACAAATGGAAATTTGACTTTGGCTTTACCACATAATTACATTAAACATCATCACATACATCACATAAAAATAATGAAAAGCTAATACATCTAATGTCACATACATCAGATTTAAAAAAAATAAATAAATAAACAATAAATAAACAATAAAAAACGCAATAAAAAAAACATGACAAAATTAACCCCACGCATATTGAAATCCCAATGTTTCAAATTATAATGGTATTTTGCACAAATTATATTTAACACACATTTGTCTTTACTTCAGGTTGCCTAAAATGTCTATTTAATGTCAAAAACTGAAATTGTATACTTAAAGGATATAAAATTACTCAGTTTGATTTTTCATCAGAATTTTCATTTTGCATTTACTCTTATTAGCTGATGCTTTTAGCCAAAGAGACCTAGAAGTGAGGATAAAAGAAGAGCATTTTAAAACTTCTGAGATTTACATTATAGAATTTCTATAACAAATAAAATAATTATTTTGTAATAATATTAATATTTAATAAAAAAATTTGTTTTTATTTCTATTTTTAGACTTCTTCCCTTCAAATTCTGAGTTCACATCTCTGTTTTGTTCTTTTCTCTAAAAGTATTTAAATCTGGTTACACTTTAACAAGGCAAGGTTATTATTGGTAACAAAAGTGAACGAATACTGAAATTAAAATCATTGGCATTAACTGAAATAAAAATATAAACGAAACTGAAACTAACTAAAATCATAGCAAAAACGTGCTTCGTTTCATCTTTGTAAATGTATTTAATACATAATCTCACTGTAAGCCTTTTAAAAGTTAATCTGTTTACTTCGTGCTGCCGGGTGTTTGACCCGTACGACACCTCGGAGTCTGTGATGAGAGCCTCCTCCAGTCAGTCCTCGCTGTCAAAAATGAATGGACATGAAAGCAGCACGGTGACAGCATTAAATACAACCCAAGCAGACACTTAAAACTATTAATTTCACACATTTGTGCCAAATAATGGGTTTTATTTCTGTATTAGTAATTAGTTATACATTATTTATTCTGATGATTTTGAGTATTGCACCTAACAAATTTACTTATTTACGAAAAAAAAAACTAATAGTGTAACTAATAAAAATTAAATTAAAACTAAGCAATTTTAAAAATGTAAAAACTTATAAAAACTAGTAAATCTACCTCTAAAAACTAATTAAAAATGACTGAATTTAAAAAGAAAAGGTCAAAACAAAATAAAAACTAATGCTGTTACAACCTTGTAACAAGTACACAAATGCACTGTGTGTAACCCAAGCATTCATAGAATTCAGTAAATCTGTATGCAAAAAAAGAAGTTACTCTTAAACAAGTCCATTCAAATTCATCCTGCATTTCGAATAACATTCAGAACCAACTGAAGCTAACCAGCGCATTTAGTCCCGGTTGAGGTATGATTTGTGAAAAGGAACACTGAATGTATAGTGACCTGAGTGCTGTGAGCTGTTCTCTGATCAGTTTGTGTTTGCAGGTGTGTTCACAGTCAATAAAAGCACCGGGATCATCTACACAAATAAATCTCTGGACTATGAGAATGTGACCAGTTATGTGCTCCGGGTTCAGGCCGATTCTCTCACCGTCATCCTCGCCAACCTGCGCGCCCCCTCCAAAAGTAAGAACTACATACCAGCATATGTCTTCTATGCCAGGGGTTTTGCTAGAGGAGGTTTTACAGTGAAGTGAATGACAGATACAAAAGACATTTGACTGAAAATAAAATCAGCTATTTAGACGACCACTTGAAAAATTTTTTGGATGTACTAGACTTATTACTTTAGAATTGAGTAAAATGTTAATTAGTTTAATTCTATAAAGGTCTTATAACATTTATTCCAAGTTTCAAATACAAATATTGATATTTAGAACATTTTAGCAAAAATTTCCATTGGTCAGAATGACAAATGTTTTCATATTATGGAATTTTGAACACCAGATTACATTATTTACATTAGATGTTACATTATTTACACTATCATTAATTTTTTTTTTACTTTGGAAATTAAACTGTATTTCAGAGTAACAAATGTTATTCACAGCCTTTGCCGTGAAGCTCTAAATTGAGCTCAGGTAGATTCTGTTTCCACTGATCATTCTTGAGATGTTTCAGCAGCTTAATTGGAGTTCACCTATGGTAAATTCAGTTGATTGGACATGATTTGAAACGGAGTACACCTGTCTATATAAGGTCTCAGGTTTGACAGTGTATGTCAAAGCACAAACAAAGTATGAAGACAAAGTAATTGTCTGTTGACCTTTAGACAAGGCTGGAGAAGGTTACGGAAAAACTTCTGCTGCTCGAAAGTTCAGATGAGCACAGTGGCCTACATCCTCTGTAAGTGGAAGATTCTGCATTTGGAACCACCAGGACTCTTCCTAGAGCTGGCCGGCCTCCAAGCTGAGTGATGAATGGCCTTAGTCAGGGAGGTGATGAATAACCTGATGGTCCAGCATTCTTCTGTAGAAAGAGGAGAACCTTAAAGAAAGGCCAACCATCTGTGCAGCAATCCACCAGTCAGGCCTGTATGGTAGAGAGGCCAGATGAAAGCCACTCACCGCCTGGAGTTTGCCAAAAGGCATCTGAAGGACTCTCATAACATAAGAAACAAAAATCTCTGGTCTAATGAAAGTAAAATTGAACTCTTTGGAGTGAATGTCAGGCGTTACGTTTGGAGAAAACCAAGCACCGCTCATCACCAAGCTAATACCATCCCTACAGTGAAGCATGGTGGTGGCAGCATTATGCTTTGGGGATGTTTTTCAGCCAAGACTAGTCAAGATAGAGGGAAAGATGAATGCAGCAATGTACAGAGACATCCTGAATGAAAACCTGCTTCAGAGTACTCTTGACCTCAGACTGGGGCGATGGTTCATCTTCCATGACCCATCAATGACCCAGGACAATGACCCAAAGCACACCGCCAACATGACCTTGAGTCGCCCAGCCAGAGCCCAGACCTAAATCCTATTGAACATCTCTGGAGAGATCTGAAAATGGCACCATCGCTTCCTATCCGACCTGCTTGTGAGGTACTGCAAAGAGGAATGGGCAAAAATTCACAAAGACAGGTGTACCAAGCTTGTGGCATCATACTAAAAAAGACTTGAGGCTGTAATTGCTGCCAAAGTTGCATCAACAAATTATTGAGCAAAGGCTGTGAATACTTATGCACATGTGATTTTTCAGCTTTTTTAATTAAAAAAAAATTGAAACCATTTCAAAAACTATTTTTTTCACATTGTCATAATGGGGTATTGTGTGTAGAATTTTGAGGAAATAAATGAATTTAATCCATGTTGGAATAAGGCTGTAACATAAACAAATGTGGAAAAGGTGAAGCGCTATAAATACTTTCCGGATGCACTGTTTGTGGATGTGAACGTACAGTATTCACTGAAGATCAAGGTGATTTGAAGTTAACAGATGAGCCTGTGTTAATAAGCGGTTTCTATATCATACCTTGGAATGTTCTGACCCAACAGAAACTGATATTTAAGACAACCGAGTAATAATAACATGCAATAAACATTAAACATGCATACACTTTAACATTGTGTTCAATATTACAAACAATTGCCAACTCTTAATCAGGCCTAGACTATTTAGTCACATGCCACCCCTGTCCTACATTTCGTTGTTGTTGTTGTTGTTGTTGTTGTTGTTGTTCCAAATCATTCTAATTGAATATTCAGTCAGAAGTAGACCACATTACAGACATGAAATGGGTTGCAAACTCCATTTAAACTTCACTGAGCACATCACAGGCTTCTGATAGGGAAAAAATTGTACAAATCACATACATGAGAGATAGTTTATTCGTGCATTTGTCCTGCCATGTGTCTTGTTTGGTGCTTTGATATAGTTTCGTTGTACTGGCACACGTTCTCCGTGTCTTTCACTCTGCCACCTGTTTTTTCTTTTGTTCATTTCTGTCTTTCCTCTCTTATTGAGCTGTGATATACAGCTCTTCATCTGCGCTTTCCCCTGTGTGTGCTTAGATCTACACCACATGACTTTATGTATTGTCGTTTAGTGCGGCGGAAGACAAATGCTTTGTGACAGAGCATATTTCTCACGTCTGCTTCGTCGTGGAGAGGCTTGCAGCAGCTGTGTGTTTTTACATTAACACTGGCTTTATTTTCTAACTGTGACAAATAGGGCTTATATTTTCATAAACTGAGCTTGCTTTATCCTGTGTGTGTGTGTTTAAATGTAACCAGCAAACACAGCCAAGGTATTCATCAACGTTCAGGATGAGAACGATCATCCTCCGGTCTTTTCGAGGCAAGTGTATATTGGAGGAGTGACTGAAGACACTAAGACCTTCACCACAGTGCTGAAAATTGTGGTAAGTGTATATTATGTATTAGTACGCAGAGTCTGAAATGTTGGGTTGCTTTATAATAATTATTATTAGGCTGGAGTCATTCAATTATTTACTCATTTTCTTTTCAGCTTAGTTCCTTTATTAATCTGAGGCAGGATGATCATGATTGTTCATTTAGATGGAATAATGCTCAGTCTATACTCCTAAATGTAGGCAAGTGGCCATTTGGCACTGACAAAACTTTTTTTTTTTTATATAAAGACACCACAAAAGTCTTTATTATTAGCCAATTATTATAAGAAATATACATTAAATGTAATATTTTATCATATAATGTATTCCAATATCCTGTGTGTGATGGCAGAATACTGTTTTATGTATTAAACTAATCAATCAATCAATGAATCAATCTATTCATCCATCCATCCATCCATTCATCAATCAATCAATCAATCCACCCACCTAACCACCCACACACCCATTCATCCATCAATCAATAAATCTATTAATCCATCCATCAATCCATCCATCCATCCATGTCAATCCATCCATATTTTAATCAATAAATTCATCAATCTATCCATCAAGCTATCAGTCATCAATCAATCAATCAATCAATCAATCAATCAATCAATCAATCAATCAGTCAGTCCATCCATCAGTCAATCCATCCATTCATTCTTTCATCAATCACTCTATCAGTCAACCAATCAATGCATCTATCCATCAATCAGTTCATCACTCCATCTATATGTCAATCAGTCCATCCATCATCCATCCATCTGTCAATCAGTGCATAAATAAATCAACCAATCAATCAATCAATCAATCAATCAATCAATCAATCAATTAATTACTCCATCCATCCATCAATCAATCCATACATCATCCATCCATCCGTCAATCGATGCATTCATCCATCCAACAATCATTCAATCAATCAGTTCATCACTTCATCCATCCATTAATCAGTCAGTCAATCAGTTCATCACTTCATCCATCCATTTGTTAATCAATTCATCCATCAATCAATCAATCAATCAATCAATTCCTCACTCCATCTGTCAATCAATCTATTCATCATCCATCCTTCCATCAGTCAATCAGCTTACCCATCCACTCATCCATCCATCAGTCATTGTATCAATCTATCCATCAATCAGTTGCTATATCAAAAATAAAAAAATTTAACAGTAATATCTGTAATACATGTTCAATCTAATATGTGACCGTTTGTCTTCCAAAATCCTGTGTGTGATGGCAGAATGCTGTTTTATCCATTAAATCAAGCAATCAATAAATCCATCAATCAGTCAATAAATCCCTCAATCCATTCATCCATCCATCCATCAATCAATCCATCCATCCACCCACCCACCCACAAACCACCCATCCATCCATCCATCCATCCATTAATCCATCAATCAATTGTTATATTTAAAAAAGTTACAAAAATAATGCTGTGAAATTTTGTCCTATTTTTTATGCCTATATTTTATGTCATAACATAAATGACACATATCACAAATGATATTAATTAGATTTGTATTTGTTTTCCACAATTGTTGGTTTAATAACCATGGATCTTAATTCAAATGATTGTATTGTTCTGCAGGTGCATGTTTCTGTAGCATATTATATTTGATTTTTGCAGCAGAGAAATTGCTGCTCACATCCTGACGCACCTGTCAACACTAGAGCACAATCTCTCTCTCTCTCTCTCTCGCTGTGCAAATCTACTCACTTTCCTCCACATCTCAGTAACTGCATTTAGACAGCTTCTCTCTCCAAACCAACACTATTGAAGACAAGTGACGGACACCTGTAAAATACCCACTGGGCTCTGTGCTGTCCCGCAAGGTGACCGTTATCTCACAAATTGAGTAGTTTAACATCTATAAAAGGCATTAAGACGTACAATCTGATGATATATGAGGATTATTACGTTTCTAGGTCACCGCCGAAGTCGAGGCCCCAGAGCGCTTGTATTTATTTCTCTAGTTCTGCCTGCAAGGCTTTTGAGGGGATAGAAGGGCCAACATGTTACTGTTTATTTAAGCTTTTAAAGTTCTCCAGTTTGTCAGTTATAGAATCATGATTCATATTTATTTACAGACTCAAAACATTTGTTTAGTAAACTTAATTAAATTAAGGAAACTTTTATTGCAGTTACTTTATAACTAACTTTAGTTGAAGCTAAGCCTGGAAGTGTTTGGTTTGTTTAGTCAAAAAGACATATTGAATGTTTTCAGTGCTGTGAAGGCAAATCTCATTCATTCATTCATTTTCCTTTTCTAGCATATGTTTCACGCAGCAATTGCCCTTCCAGCCGCAACCTAGAACTGAGAAAGCAAATCTCTGCATCAATAAATGAATCAATCAATGAATCAATTAGCGAATTAATAAATTAATCAGTTGCTATAACTAGGGTTGGGCACAAAACCCGGTACCATAATGGCACTTGTACCTGAGTAACCAGTATGCACCGGACCAAATCAGCATAGGAATTTCGGTGTCTAAATTCGGTGCATCAAGGGGTGCATCAAAGGCACAGATAGGTATGCATTGTGCCACACTATCTCTAAACATCTCATTCTAAACAACTTTGTCGGTGATGTTAGGCGTTTGTTCTTGTTGTTAAGGGAACGCACGCAGTAAAGCGCATCTGGTAATGGGTACCCTTCAGATTCATCAACGCATGTGATCGCATTGACCAAATTTGCTTAAACTAAGCATTCTAAAGTATGGCTATATTTAACAAGCAAAGATCCTGACTCAGCTTAAATGAATGCTTGTGTGTAGGGGGAAACACGTCAAACTTATTGAAACATTTGAGGGCACAGAATCAACTTATAGGCAAAGGAATGTCTTTTGACAGCTTGCGACATCATCTGTCACTTTTACTGAGTATGTTTACATTAACAGCAATACTCCGATTTTAATATGATTAAGGCAATACTTGATTTAGATTATCATGTAAACAGATTTTGATTACTTTAAAGAACCACCTTAAAGGAGTTTTTTTCTTTCCATTCTGCGTTTAGTATTAAATTCCATTAAAACACTCTTCCACCAGTACTTATTTCATATTCTCTTCTAATACCTCGGTTTGTCACTAAGCATGAATAAAATGTTCCTGAATAAAAATAAAAAAAATTGGAGAACTGCAGTCAAAAAATTAAAAATGAAACACCTAAAATTATATGAAACTCTGAAAGAAACGTGGATGACCATTAATCAATCTATCTACTATAACATGTAAAATGGTAACATAGAAAGGAACATTCAAAAAGCAACTCATGTGAAAAACTTAATCCTATTATTGTCTTATTCAGATTAAGGCAAATCATTAGATTACTGATGTCCATATAAACGTAGTCACAAGCCCCAACCCTAGAAAAAAGGTGTTCACTGATCTTGATAACAGCTTTTCCACAGGTTGGTAGTAAGCAAATGTAATGTCAATTGCATAATGTAAATCTTATATTCATGCTAACAGACAAATGATCAAAAATAAATTTATTAAAGCAATTCAATTCAAACATTTGAAATATGAATTGTTACTTTAAGCTTTAATTATATTAATAACAATATTGTGGCTCAAAAGTATCAGTTCAGGCACCGTTTTGGCACAGTACTGTTTTAAAAGTACCAATTTAGTACCTGTATAGAAATAACCCTAAACGATACCCAACCCTAATTATAACAAAAAAATGCTGTGACAATTCACAAAACAAAAGTTTAACTTGATCAAGTTAAGAAATCAACATTTGTTGGAATAAAGATGAGTTCCTGTTGCAGCAAATGGCATTTATTATTTTGACTTGATTAAATTAAGGAAACTTGTCATTGAATTTAGTTTACAACTATACTTTTTGTTTAAGCTGAGGCCTGGAAATGTTTGTTTTGTGTAGACAAGAAAGACATTATAAACATTTTCAGTGCTGAGAAAGCAAATATCTGTATGCTCTTTCAAAGGATTGAAACGCAAACTGATACAATAAAAGATTGTGGGTAACCAATCAAAACAGACTGGACCATCTGACCAATCAGAGCAATCTGACCTACCAGACAAGAGTAGGCCTTTGGAAGTAGGAAACAGGCTTAAAGAGCAAAAAACAACGCATTTGAGACACTAAATAAAAAAATAAAATAAAATAAACAAGTAAATACAACCCAAGCTCATTCTGAAAACGTAGTCCCGCGGACGTTTCTGGAGACAGCAGAATACATCCCGCGAGGTACTTACGGCCGCATTTATTATTTTCAAGCGAACACTAAGGGGCGGTGTGACGCTGTTCCCTTTCGCGCTTGCCGGCCGGCCGGCCGGCCGCTTACCTCCTTGTGGAGGGCTTCCCCGCTGCAACCTGTTTGTCCACTCAGCTCATCGTGTACGTCGGCAGGCTCGAGATGCAGAGCGGAGTCGACCACGGCGATCGGTTTCGAGTCTGGGGAAGAGCGGTTCCAGCAATCAGTTAAGACAAAAACAGAATCCCAAAAATTAAGTGAACGAATTTCGTCACAAGGTGAGGATGCGGTGAAATCCGAAAACGGGGTACAAAAAAAAATCAGGGCTTTTCTTTTTTTGGACGGCTTTTCTAAACTGTTGCTCGGGTTTAGGGAAGCGAGCAGGCGGGCGGGACGATTGGTAACAGTGGTTGGGTTCAGGGAAGGAGGAGGGCGGGTCGGCCGATTGGCCGGTCTCGCAGTCAATCATCCGGTCAGTCGGACAGCGGCCTTTGGCGGGTTCACGCGAGAACAGCGCGGGCGCGAAACTACAAAAACTGCAGCTGTATGTACCCGCCGGGATGTATTCCGCGGTCTCCAGAAACATCCGCGGGACTACGTTTCCACAATGAGCCCGGGTTGAGTAAATAACATGGTAAAAATGTGGTCGAATCTGAAAACATGGTGAAAATCAGGCCTCTGGTGGATTCGCGAAAAGAAAAATTTGGAAAAATTTAGCTCTTTGGACATATTTTGCTCTCTCAAGAAATGTATATAGTGGTGTGTAATCAGAATGAGCCTGGGTTGGATATAAATCTATAAAGACAAAGACAAATTTGGAATGTTTAAAAACAGTATAAAGGTTCACTTTAAATATATTGTATGTATTGAACACAGTGGAATTAGGTGATGGTGAAATGTTGGTTGATCTCAAAAAGGAAAACTCATTTTATTGAATGTATAGTTAAAACGTTTTATTTCTTTCATCAGGCTACAGATGTTGACACTGGGAACTACAGTAAGATGGCCTACAGACTGATCATCCCCCCCACAACTGAGGGGCAGGACAGTTTTGTGATTGAGCCCTACACCGGAGTCATCAAGAGCGCCATCATGTTTAGAAACATGCGCCGGTCCTACTTCAAGTTTCAGGTCGTCGCCACAGATGACTATGGAAAGGGGCTCACCAGCAAAGCAGATGTAGTGGTGAGTGCGGATCATGTGACCTGTAAAGGCCTGTTTATTGACATTATTCTGCCATGTGAGAGCAAGCGCAGCAATTTGAACATTATAGGGTATATGCACAGCTATTGTTTTTTCCCTACCGATAATCTTTTGGTGAAAGGTTTATGTGACTATTTTCAATATTATAAGGTTCCATTTTTACAGCATCGATGTTGTAATGTAATTAAAATATAATCTATTAAATAGAACTAAGAATTCATTTAATTGTTGAATTGTAAAACGAGATGTAAACGCTAGCGTCGTCAGTAGCTGCAGGCGACCGCAAAAACTCCATTGAGAATACTGTGGTAGAATAAATTGTCATATTTTAAAGACATGAACTATGTAATTTAATGCAGAGCTTCTTGTACAACCCACTTTATATCATATAATAATCAGGCAGTATATTAATCAGGCATTTTTAAAGAAATCAGACCTTAAACGTGGCGACGTGGTGCACAAGATCTATGATTGGTCGACAGGTAGCTGTAAAGAGTATGGACAGAGCTGAGAGCTAAGGGGGCAGAGCAAGAATTGTAGCAGAAGAGTTTAACAAGTCCCAAAGAGATCTGGATGATACTTTTGTTTTGTGTCATTTTATGATCAAAGATGGTAAACATTCACCGTTTCCTAGTGAAATGGTGGGTTGTGGATTCAAAAGTAAACACATTGTGCTATGTTTTCTCTGCAGTTTGCATATTTAAAACATTTGGAAAGTTAGAAACAGGGCCGGATTAACCTATGGGCATTATGGGCACAGGCCCAGGGGCCCGTGCGCACTTAGGGCCCTGCGAGAAGGGAAAAAATGCAGATTTTGGAGTGGCTGTTTAAGCTTATTGCAAATAGCACACCTCGTTGGAATAAGCTAGTTAACGGACTCATGCCCATCACTGTTTGATTGACAGAGACAACACAACTAAAAAGTGCAAAATAGTAGTAAAATGGCATAACCAAAGAGACAAGTTCTTACTGACAAGGTCTGGAACTGGTCTGGATTAAAAATAAAGTACCTCCACTCTTTCCAGATAAACCAAAATCAGAAAAAAGACAATGCAAACACTGTGGTTTTACACATCTTGTTGTCTCTGGAGCATCTTTATTGTTTAGTTTCTGTGTGGAGTTGTGTTTGTCTCTCTTATTATACACAAAGGGGTGGGCAGAGCTAAACAGGCTGTAATGTAGTAGTAGGCATTGACCTTCTTCTATGGAGATTTTTTTTTAAATAATTATATAAAAAGACAAATTAATAAATAAAACATAAATGAACATATATATATATATATATATATATATATATATATATATATATATATATATATATATATATATATATTTATATTTATATAAATGTATTTATATTTATATAAATATATTTATTTATTTATGTGGGGGCGGCATGGTGGCTGCCCTGTCCCCTCACAGCAAGAAGGTCACTGTTTCAAGTCCCAGCTGGGGTAATTGGCATTTCTGTGTGGAGTTTGTATGTTCTACCTGTGTTCGCTTGGGTTTCCTCCGGGTGGCGACCCCTGATAAATAAGGCATTAAGCCAAAGCGTAATGAATTAATGAATGAGTTTATACATGTTTTAGGTTGGTAAAAGAATCATTTGCACATTTTTTGTTGCATTTCACAATATTATATAATACAGCTGCACAATCCACAACCTTATGTTGGCCAGATTGACTTCAATATACACTCAAAAAATATATATTTTTTGCTTATTCAGACTACTTCAATCCACATTAATTTGTTAAAAGTGTTAAGTTAACTTAATTTGTGTTGGGACAACATGAAGGAATTGTGTGGAACCCTGCATTTTTTTTTACCATGTAAGATGTTTTCAGACTAACAAGAAAGTTTGGTCCCACTTTTGGCCTCAACTAATATGTACTTACACAGGAATTAATAGTTTGTTATAATGTACTTATTGTGTAAATACATGTATTTACTCTGTACTGCTTGATTAATTACCTGTATGTAATTACATCTGTAGTTAACTTTTGTAATTACATTTGTAAATACACTGTTGATCATCCCTTACACCTTAACCCACCCTTAAACCTACCCATACCACCAAACCTGTCCATAACCCAACCCCTATCCCAATTCAAGAGCACCACAAGTGTTCTCAAATACATTATGAACACAGTAAGTACATTGTATTTATTTTTTGATGCAAGTACAAAGTAGTTAAGGACACTATATATAATATAAAGTGGGACCGAAAGTTTTACTTCCGAAACTTGCAAGTTGTTTTTACAGTCTCAACTTATTGGTCAAAAGCTCAAGGGAAATTTGATTTCTCCCTTCATGACCTCTTTAAACAAAGTTCCTTTCAAGCAAAGTCCTTATATTTGCTGCATGCGCCACCATACAGCTTCCGTTCAAAACACATCAGTTAGCGAAATGACATTTTCTCTCATCCCTCTGTTTATGCAAAATGCATGTTTGGGGTTCAAGACAAATCACTGACTGAATAATTTAAACCACGTCTAAATCACATAACAACAATCAGCACTGTTATTAAGCGAAAATATCTCTCCACAGTGTGGATTTGCTTGAGTAAATACGTTGTGTTTGAAACTAGTTTGCGCGCCGGAGTGCATATGGTATTTGTGCATTACTTAGTGCGGTAATGAATATATAAATAAACAGTTTTTTTGTGTCAGCTGAATTATTTATGCGGCTCTATCTCCCGAAGTGTTGCAGTCAGTGCAATTCCCAGAAATCTCCAGAGTTAATGAACGCCTAATATAATAAGAGGGATTTGGAATCGCTGCGTGTGCATCGGGGCTTTAAACATCATGTCATTAATGTTTGTGTCATTTTCAATTTCCCCGAGCAGTTGGAGTTGGTGGTTGTATAAGCTTTCATCCGGCAGTGGCACTCCTGAAGTTGACCGGCTGAAGTAAAGAACATTGCCAATTCAAAAAAGCCCTTTAAAGCTGGACAGCAAACAGCGAAGCATGGAAATGAGTATAGTTCAATTTGAAAGCATCAGCATCATTACTTAAATTTAACTGAGACAAGTTATGTGTTGGGGGCGACACAGTGGCTCAGTGGTTGGCACTGTCGCCTCACAGCAAGAAGGTCGCTAATTCAAGTCCTGGCTGTATCAGTTGGCATTTCTGTGTGGACTTTGCATGTTCTCCCCGTGTTGGCGTGGGTTTCCTTCTGGGGCTCGGGTTTCCCCCACAGTCCAAAGACATGCGGTATTAAGAGAATTGAATAAACTAAATTGGCTGTAGTGTTGGTGTGTGCACATTTGAGAGTGTATGATGTTTCCTAGTACTGGGCATCCGCTGTGTAAACATATGCTGGATAAGTTTGTGGTTCATTTCGCTGTGGTGACCCCTGATGTATAAAGGAACTAACAAGTTGAAGGAAAATTAATTAATTAATGAAAGTTTTGGGTTGGAAAATATATTATTAGTTGATTTATGTCATAACCAGTGATAATATAACTTTTAAGTTTTTAAGGGGACCTATTATGCCTATTTTTACAAGATGTAAAATAAGCCTCTGATGTCCCTAGAGTGTGTATTTGAAGTTTCTGCTCAAAATACCTCACAAATATATTTTGACAACTCTTTGAAACTGCTCATCTTAGGCTTTGATCCTAATCGTGCCAATTTGATGACTGTTGCGTTAACTTCGAATGAGATTGTGCTCTTTATAAGAGGGCGGAGCTACAAATGTGTCAGCATAGCTGCAGATTCAAAAACTGCAAAAAAGACATATGCTTATAAGGGACAGATCATTACTAATAGGCAGAGCTTTCCCCCTCTGATAACACGTACAAAGGGAGAATGGCAGTGGAAGTGTTTCTGCAGACTGCTTTTATCAAGTGTGATTATAAAAAATAACAATATTAAAGTTGTAACTTTAGAAGCTGTTTATATTCACATACTGTTGCCACACAATTGTGTTAAAACCCCTTTTAAAAGTGATTTTTGCATATTAGGTCCTCTTTAACTATACTAAAACTATTCCAATTTTATTATACTCAAAGTAAAATATACATTAATAAATTGCCTAGTTCCCAAGAAAATATTTACCGTTTCATTATTAAGTATATAAATTTAGCTTAGCTTGATGTACAAAAATAAAAAAAAATGTAAACAAACAAATGCAATGAATGCAATTTTTATAAACTTAAATTTAAACAATTATTTAATTTTTTTCTCCCAACTTTTACATAACATATTGTTCAAGTTTACATTTTGAATAACAATGAATTGTGAATTTTAATTGTGACCTTATGCATAATATATAATATAAGCAATAATTCTGACTTCAACTGTATATATATATATATATATATATATATATATACAGTTGATGTCAGAATTATTAGCCCCCTTTGAATTTTCTCTTTTTTAAAATATTTTCCAAATGATGATTAACAGAGCAAGGGAAATTTTCACAGTATTTCTGATAATATTTCTTCTGGAGTAAGTCTTATTTGTTATATTTTGGCTATAAAAAAACAGTTTTTAATAATTTAAAAAAAAAAAACATTTTAAGGACAAAATTATTAGCCCCTTTCATCAATTTTTTTCCTCGATAGTCTACACAACAAACCATCATTATACAATAACTTGCATAATTACCCTAACCTGCCTAGTTAACCTAATTAACTTAGTTAAGTCTTTAAATTTCACTTTAAGCTGTGTAGAGGTGTCTTGAAAAATATCTAGTAAAATATTATTTACTGTCAACATGACAAAGATTAAATAAATCAGTTATTAGAAATGAGTTATTAAAACTATTATGATTAAAATGTGTTGAAAAAAAATCTGCTCTCAGTTAAACAAAAAATGAGAAAAAAATAAACAAGGGGATTTATAATTCTGGCTTCAACTGTACAGCTGAAACATATGTTCATAAATATGTAATTAATCATTTGTTCATTCATTTCATTTTTCCTTCGGCTTAGTCTCTATTTCAGAGGTTGCCACAGTGAAATGAACCGCCAACTATTCTGGCATATGTTTTGTGCAGCGGATGCTCTTCCAGCTGCAACCCAGTATTGGGAAACACCCACACACACATACACACTCACACACTCATACACAACAGACAATTTAGTCTATTCAAATCACTTATAGCACATGTCTTTGGACTGTGGAGGAAACCAGCGAACATGCAAACTCCACACAGAAATGCCAACTGGCCCAGCCAGTACACGAACCAGCAACCTTGGACCTTGAGCCACTGTGCCACCTGCTGTATAATTATAAAAACTTAAATAAAAAATAAGCTATTCGAAATCTTTTAAAATGAAAAAGACTGCATGATAAAACATTACAATCAATGTTCTGCAAAAGTGTTTGGTCACTTTAAGCTTTAGAAAAAAAACTGGATGTGGCTGTCATGCTGATTGGTGTAAATCATTGTTTGAGCTTGAGTGCAGTGATGTGTTTGTTGTTGTGTGTGTGTTACAGGTGTCTGTTGTGAATGCTCTGGACATGCAGGTGGTGGTGTCTAATGTTCCTCCTACAGTGGTGGAGGAGAATAAAGAACAGCTGATCAGGTGAGACTGAGTCCTCCTTTATCTCTTTCAGTGTCATTCAAGAGTTTCCTGCTCTGTCAACAGCCTTTGTTTTCACACTTTCTCTGATTTAATTCACCATTTCAGTTTGTAAACGCATCAGCGATTAAATAATAATAATAATAATAATAATAATAATAATAATAATAATATGGTTGCAATCAGAATTGACTTCTTTTTTCTTTTTCAAATATTTCACAAATGATGTTTAACAGAGCAAGGAAATTTCCTTCTGGAAATTCTTCTGGAAAAAGTCTTTAACTAAAAAAAAAATCTTGCTTTATTTCAGCTAGAATAAAAGCAGTTTTTTTTAAAACCATTTTAAGGTCAAAATTATTAGCCCCTTTAAGCTTTATGTTTTTACGATTGTCTACAGAACAAGCCATCGTTATACAATAACTTGCCAAATTACCCTAACCTGCCTAGTTAACCTAATTAACCTAGTTAAGCCTTTAAATGTCACTTTAAGTAAAGTAAAAGTAAAGTAAAGAACTTTTATTGTCATTGTGGTTGTACAACGAAATTTGTTTGGTAACTCACAGAGACCAGCAGCAACATAAAAAGAGAGAAAAACAAACAATAGACATAATACTAAAATATAAGAGGCAAGATAAAGTATACTAAATGTAATAAGTCACACATAAAGAAAACCAACAATAGACATAATACTAAAAATATAAGATGTAAGATAAAATATACTAAATGTAATAGTCACAGTATTTAAGTCACAGTATTTAAGCTGTATAGAAGTGTCTTGAAAAACATCGTCAAATATTTACTGTCATCATGGCAAAGATAAATTAAATCAGTTATTAGAAATGAGTTATTAAAGCTATTGATTAGGAATGTGTATAAAAAATCTTCTCTCAGTTAAACAGAAATAGGAAAAAAAATAAACAGGGGGTTAATAATATAATTTTATAATCTGTGTGCTTCTGGTTTGTGAGATTCAGCCTTTGGGTATTGGAATGCGTTGTATTTTTCTGTATTTTAATTTTTTAGTATATAAAGTAGAAGTATTACAGCATTTTTTTTTTGCATTTAAAGAAGATAGATCCCCCCTAATCCCCTATATGTGTTTTCAGTATTTTGGAGCGGTACGTGCAGGATCAGATCCCCGGTGCTAAAGTGATAGTGGAATCGATCGGACCGCGGCGGCACGGTGAAGGTTATGAACTTGAAGACTACTCAAAATCAGACCTGCAGGTGTACGCCATCGACCCGCTCACCAACAGAGCCATCTCCAGACAAGAGCTCTTCAAGTAAGACCAACACACACACATACACACACCTCAAGAACATAAAGAAGACCTCTGATTTTGAGTTCTGCTGCTGGAGTGACATTGACATGCAGTTTAAATCTGGCTTGCAACATTAGCTGATCCTCTTCCCTAGTGTTCAAACTATACAGTGGTCTTTGCAGGAGCCCACTTTTTTTTTTTTTTTTTTTTTTTTTTATCGTGAGAGTCCCTTGCCACAAGGATGTAGGCTATCGACCTTATTCTAAAATGCGGAAGTGCGCCTGTTTTCGCGATTGTTTTAGAACTTCCAATTCAGTCGCCTATGGGAGAAATGACTAGGAATAATAAACCGCAGAAAACGGTTAAACTACTTGCTCTACAAACAAACGTTTGCATGACTACACAGACCAAGTAGAATAATACAATAAGAAAATATCAGTTTGCAACATCAAACAGCAAAAGGAGCAGTTTTTAATGTCAAAAAATGAATGGAAGTGAATGAGACCGGAAGTCTCAAGCCAAAAAGATTCAGATGGCTGCGCCCACTCGTCGGCGAAGAATAAGGTGAATAAAACACTGTCCTGTAAGGCTTGAAGCTTACGCTGCTATTCTGAACCAATAATCGGAAACAGGAAGCAGTTGAAGGATAGCGTGTTTAAATCCATTATTTATCTGACTCCATTGTAATTAATCTGACTCCATTAAAGTTGTTATCATCATTGATATAGAGAAAGAATCTCTACGTCTTAAAGCAGGCAAAGTTGTTTATTAAGTTACATGTTTAAATATACAGACATTAGAATGAAACAAACTAACATACTGTATAAAGAAATTAGCTGTAACATATGCACTGCTGAGCAACAAAGACAGTGAAACTGCCTTTGTTAGCATATGAGGCTACGCACCAGTGTGCGGGAGATGCAGAGTAAAAGCCATTCTCCCAGATCAACAGTTACCTTTCCCTATTATACCCTGAGCAAAGCATTGTCAAACATGAGTGAAAACCAACCCCCAAAACCAGCTGAACATGAGAACAAAGTTGAAGAGAGGAAGTGAGGGAGAAGTACATTAACATACTCTCCTCAGGCCATGACCCAACAATAGTAAATATATTGTAGATTGAAATACAATTAATCAATGTCTCTGTTGATTTCATCACTGCAACACTGAAGTCATAAACTGTCAAATGACACCAAACATGACAAAGATATCAGAAGGAAGAACACAAGCTGATGAATTGTGTATGGTGAAGAGCAAATGGTTACTGTAAGCAAATGGCAGAGATGTGTATCGGAGCTGTGAGGAACTCTGCCTCACCAGGAGGACCCATCCCATGCTTGGAATGTCTCAGTAGTCCTTCATTAGCATAGAAGGAAAAATATATAATATTTTCTCAGCTTACAGTCCTTAAACAGCAATGTATAAACAATAAAATCTATACAAATAAAACAAATATTTATATAATTGTAACGAATATTACAATATAGACTAAGTTAACAAAATACCATGATAGTTTTGGTTTACTTTCTCGCCAAAAAACGCTTGCATTCCCATCAATAACTTTCTTTGACTCTTTAAAATATCTTTTAAGGAATTTATTTTTAGCTTCACAAACAACAGCAGCCTAAACAACAGAACAGCATTGTCTAATTTCACCTGCAGTGCTTCTGTGACAGGAATACATTATTTAAAGTATATAAAATCAACGGATATGTTTCACTTAACAACAAAATAAATAACCTCGTCATGTAACCTATCATTTATATATTCACTCTCTAAGTTCGAGAATATGGCACTAAGTACAGCATATGCAGTTTTTTTTTACATAGAGCTATAGAATGTTATGGGATATCACTTTTCACTCCAGTAAATTATAATCACAGATTTGAAAATGAAAGAAGCACCATTGAAAGGGGTTCAGTTTTGTCAAGTTTACCCTGCTTTCAGCTTAACTGTCCAATCTTGATTACAGCAATGTCACAGTTTTTAAAAAAAACATTGTGTTGGTCTACTGAGAGAAGCAAATAAAACGAAACAACACGTCACATCATTTATTTCGGAAAAGAATAAGCAGTGTCTCAACATCCATATAAAAACATCTGGCTGTCAGTGTTTGACATGACTGGACTGCTCAGCAGCGCTCCCCACACCTGAAAAATTACAGATCATAATCAGAAGTAACTCTAGTCATTGGTAGATCTTGACTGGATTTTTCATTACTATTAGGTAAATGACTCATCCAGGTAGTAACCAAGTAAAGAAAATTAAAGTGGATTGAATAATAATAATAATGTATTATAAAGAGTTTGGGTGGAAAGGGGGGGGGGGGGGTAGCGTGTTATTTATTCATAGTTTTGAATGACTGTTTGTTTAAATATTTTAAACGACTTTCTCTTCCTGTAGTTGTTTTAGTTACAGTTTAATCAATTATATTTTGATTATATTTTGTGATTTTTTTTTTTTTTGGCTTTATGTTTTGTGTTTATTTTGATGACTTTAAAACATTTTAAAAATAGAGTAAAAATACAGCTACTGAGAGTTTCAATTGCTAAAACTTAATGTAAATTGAAAACTGAAAGGCAGAAAACAAAATGTTATTCATTTATGTTCTTGTCGGCTTAGTCCCTTTATTAATCCGGGGTTGCCACAGCGGAATGAACCGCCAACTTATCCAGCAAGTTTTTATGCAGCGGATGCCCTTCCAGCCGCAACCCATGTCTAGGAAACAACCACAGACACACATTTACACACACACTCATACACTACAGACAATTTAGCCTACCTAATTCACCTGTACCACATGTCTTTGGACTGTGGGGGAAACCAGAGCACCCAAAGGAAACCCACTCAGAGGAAACCCACATGAACGCAGGGAGAACATGCAAACTCCACATAGAAACGCCAACTGAGCCGAGGTTCGACCCAGCGACCTTCTTGCTGTGAGGCTACAGCACTTCTTACTGCACCACTGCATCGCCTGTATATATATATATATATATACTAGATGCGTGGATCAGCTAAATGACACCCGAATCTACAGCTTCATACTAATCATCCACCCGCCTGCACACATACTTTTATCTGATATAAATATACATATATATATATATATATATATATATATATATATATATATATATATATATATATATATATATATATATATATATATATATATATATATATATCGATCTTGTTTCTCCCAGAACGATAGCAGATTTTCCTCTGATGACTCCTTTAACTGAAACTTTGAACAGTAGGCTACTCTTGCACTTCATCCATTATTTTGGGCAAAGCTGCAAAGCCCACTCTCTGCTTTTTTCACTGGTCCACTGCCATGTCCCGCAACTGACCCGCAATTAATCATAATGTATATTTTTATTACCCGATCCGCGGATTATCTGCAGCGCCCACGGATAAAACCAATATCCGCATTACTAATATATACTATATATATATACTTACTTATATACTTATATATAAAAATATAAGTCATATTTAACAGGGCAGTTACATTTTTCACAGTGTTTCCTATAAAGTTTTTTTTTCTTCTGGAGAAAGTCTTTGTTTTTATTTTAACCCAGTTATTCATTTAATTGTGCTTTATTCTGACTTTTAGTGCCTTTCAAGATAGATAAGGGAAAAAATTGTGGCAAATCTACAAAATGTAAAGCTTTTAAAAGCAGCTGTTGCCAGGCCTGCCATCCTCAAAAAAAGAGCCCTGATGGCCAGAAATGCAGAATTACACTCCGTGCTGTTCCCTAAGAGTCAGCAGAGAAACATGTCTGGCATCAGGATTCAGCTCAAATGTGTGTTCACTAAGCCAATACACACACACACACACACACACACACACACACACTAGAGATAACAGACCACCTGCCTTATTCTGCTGTCCACACACACATCTTCCTCTTATACACCTTTATTTTCTCTGGCTGTGAGACGTTGTGTTTGTTGTGGCTCAGAGTTTACCAGAAACATTTCTTCAGAGAAATACAGACAGGAGTGAAACAGCTGCTGGTGAACTGTGCTGAGAGATGAATTCAAGAGAATGACTGAAATAAGAACTGCAACATTTCTAATCAGAGTTTTAATTGAGTTTTTTCCTTTTCTTTCTCTAAAAACTCAGCAGATGTAGGATTGCATGTGAGGGTCTCAGAGGAGAAGCTGAGAAAGTGCAGATTCAAGATGACATCTTTGTTTAATTGCTTTTGTTTTGGAGAATCAGATATTCAGGGAATAGTTGTTGCTGTTGCTGTTGTTGTTGTTGTTGTTTTGTTATTGTTTTCTCTACCAAACTTAAAAAGATATTTTTAGATTTGCAGATTTGGACTTTCAAAACAGTCAGTTTGTCTGTTGAGCACAATGTCCAGGGGCCACATGGCAACATGGCAACACCCCCACTCTTCAAAGGTGAAGAGTGGGGGTGGTGTCGTGGACGAAATTGAAGGGGGGAGTGAAAAAGTAAAACTGTGTGGGCCCCTAGGATCATCCTAAATTTCCTTGCCTAACTTTCCCTCCCTAGTGGTGCCCCTGACAATATCCCCAGTATGTCAAATGAATTTTGAGAACTACTGTATATTTTCAGTTTGTTTTGGTTTAGGTTGCAATGGTTATGTTAGAACTAAAAGTCTTTCATTTCCACTAGTGGAAATTTGTCTTTGGCCTCAAAAAATGTTAATAAGCATCAAACACAAAGCACAACGCAAAGCTTCCTATACCATAGATTACTAAGCCACAACCCTGGCTATAAAACCACAAACAGATTCAGTGTCACAGAACAACATAAAAACTACTTCATGGTCATTAGTTCAATATAATAATTGCAGACAGTATAAAAGATTTCTTTAAAAATGTTGTTGTTCGTTCATTTGTTTGTTCGTCCATTCGTTCATTTGTCTGTTCGTTTATTTTATTTTTATGGAAGTATGCATGTATATATGTATGTATGTATGTAAAGACTAAAAGTGTCTTAATTTTAATTTAATTTAATTTTAGATTATTTTATTATAATTAAA